TAGAACCCAATGGATTTCAAGTCCATCTCCTTAACCGCTCGGACACCGCAGCTCACGGGAAAAGTTTCTTACAGCGCCTCTATAGACTAAGTATACTATCTGTGTTGACTTACAATGCTTACTCAGGTGATATAAACGCTATCAGCAGTAATTTGAGCTCATTAATTAAAAAAATAAAAAAAATAATTCGCTGCGGACAGGATTCGAACCTGTGCGGGTAAAACCCAATGGATTTCAAGTCCATCTCCTTAACCGCTCGGACACCGCAGCTGAGACGACAGGTTAGGTTTAAAATGGGAAATATAAATTCATGTAATTAACTCGAGATAGACTGAAACATTTAATAATGAGAAAGGTAATTACTCAACATACTCATCAGTACTTCAACTGTAGTTGGTTTATTTCTTGTATACATAAATACATGATTAACTCGAAAGAACACAGATAGTGGAGTGATAACAGTAATCACCTCAACGTTAAACGTGTGGCTGTAATTGTTGTTGAAATAATTAATTGGTCATTAACGATCGTTAACGAGCGTTATTTTTTATTACCTTTGTCGTAATTAACAATTTAGTCATCAGACACATGTATCGTCACATTTAAATCGACAATAATATTTAGCAATTATTGAGCGACATCCTTAAACGTACTCATACTCAAAGAAGACAACCGTGACGAGCTCGTTAGTGACACGCAGCTTGCACATTGTCTTACAATGTAAATTAAATGTTTATGACATTTTTTATCATACTCTGACATTTACTTTATATTCAATTGGTTTAGTGTTATAATTATTAAATAATCTTCTGTTCTAGCATTGAATTAAATTTGGAATTTAAGGCAGTAGTTACTTTAATGAGAACGGGACTTAATATTTCGACGGGCGTGTCGCTACTTGTTTTTTCCAGTATACTAATAAAAAAAGATTGGGAAACATTTTTAGGCTTAATCTCTTCTATTTAGCATTCTCGTTTGTTGAGTGGTGTTGAGACTTGTTGGAATGCCTCCCCCATTTCGCGGATCATTTTTCACCCGGACAATCTTAAGTCTCATCTACACAATGCGTTGTTACCTCACCTTCCGTGACATCGCATTGTCTGACAGTGACGAATCGAAATACCCAACTCGACTTTTCAAGTCATCGGTTTTCGCGTTTGGATATTTATTTATTGCCTACACCGTTAATAAACAAATATGCAATAAATAAATCTTATAAATAAATTATATTGATCGTATATGTATGTAGTATCTGATTATGATGCCCATCTGCTTCCATGTATTTTTGTCATTGATACCATATTCGAATGTTGCCCCTGATCGAATTATTTATGTCTTTCATCCCATAAATAATCATTTAAATAATGGATGTGACTGATGTTACTCTGTATCTTTTATACATATACATATATATTGTATATAAAATAAATAAAGGATAAAAAGGGCAAAGTATTTTACCAATTACCTAAGAGTTGAATTGAATTTTTTTAAGTTTTATTTTCATTTTATTCTACCTAAATAAACTCTGGTGAGCTGACTGACTTTAGTGATGCGAAAAAAAAAATCACAAGGTGCAACTGTTGGAAGTGACGGACGTTTGTCAACTGACAGGTGACGAGAGATCCCTTTACTTTTTTTTTTGTATATTTAATTTTTAGTTTTATACATGTATGAATAAACCTTTTTCTCTCATTTATACATATAAGTCGAATCGACAAGTGTCGTGTATATTAAGTAATCCAATACCACTATATAATTTAATTAAAATTTTAGGTTTTTTTTATTTAAATCCATTCACCATGAATATTAATTTCTTTTAAAAATTATAATATAACAATTTATAATAAATTATAAAATAAAATAAAGCGAAAAAATAATCTCTCTTCTGTGCGATGGAAATTATAAAAGTTAATATTATATTTTTTTAACAGACGGTAAATATAACTGTTGCCGTAACGTCACATGTTTGCACTTGATATAATGATTAATATGATTAATTTAATCTCAAGTTACATAAAAGAAAAAATGTATTTACTTTACTAATTGAAATAACACTAAATTTGATGAAATTAGAGTTTTATTCTTCAGGCGAAATTTCTTCACACATCGATTTTATTAAAAACAATTATTGAAAATATTATTTTGTATTTGGAAAGATCGGTATCATCGACAACGCGAATAAAACCCAAAGTATATAAGTATAATACACTGAACATCGGTGGAATTAATTGAAAGGAAAAAAAAAAAATAATAAATAAAAAAAAATCGGTGTGTATATGTTGGGTTATAAGAAAAATGAATGAAGTAAAATAAAATAAAAAGTAAGTAGTGTGTAGACTATGGCATGGGTAATTTATATTAACGATGTTTGCGGCTCTTTGAAGATCCGCGATATCCGGCTTAGCTCCTCGCGAGACAGAAAACGTGGTGAGAATACTCTCATCAAATGATTGCTTGTACTTTTCTCAGGTTAAGTCTCACCGTTTTATTTAATTATCAACAACAATCACATATATTATATTTATTTATTTTTATAATCTATTTTATTGAAGGCTCCAATTTGTAAAGTCATGACATTATAATTTTTTTTTTTTAATTCATATCAAATAATTACGCATAGAATTGTAATAGGTGAGAATTTTTATTAAAATCCGGGACTCCTTCGGGAATTAATCTCCTGTGTAGCACGAGTACGAGGATGTCCTTGCATCAGCATCAAACGCGCCGGCCTTTCAATTCGTCCTCGATAACAACGGGGCCAATAAGATGCGGTAGCATGTTTAAACCATTATAATAAAAATAAATAAATAATAATAAAAAAAGGTTAGTGAAACAGGCGAGAAAAAAATATAACAACCGGCCTATAAACATTATACATGATTTCTAGCGTCCATCGAATTGATCAAGAGCAGATCATCGAGGCTTATTCAATTCAATAATAAATATGCTGTATGTTGAGAAACTTGATTTTCATTAGAAAACACCGTCTAATAGTTAATAGCTCATATTATACGTTCAATGTAATACCTACCAATTGCTGCTCGTTAAATAATTTATTTTATTTCTATCCAGAACCTTGCAATATCCGCTCGAGTTTTTTTTTCTCCAGTTATTCATTAATGGAATTAATTTATTGTTTAAAAAATTCCTTGAATTAGTCACTAACTATATAGTTTTCTCTTAAAAACTAGAGTCAGAGATTTTTTGGATGAAAATCTCGGGAGTTAATGTTACTTCTTTGAATCGAAAAACCAAAGGATAAAAAAATGACATAAACATTGATGACAAAACGGTGTGTGGTCGTTATCGTGATCTTTTAATGACGGCGTTTTGGATATTGTGTATATAATATGTGTGTAAATTTAAGAAGTCGTCAATGTGTTGGTATTGTAGTTTACGACCAGTTTATATATTTTAAAAATTTACATACGTCCTTGCTACCTCACTAGGACGTTTCTTTCATTCTATATTCCAGATGCAGCAGCTACACAACTGTTTCTATATATCTCTTTAAATAACACACAATTGAAAGTTTATCTTATTTTATTTTATACTTATATTAAAGTTTTTTTTTTCTTCTCTTTCTTCTTTCTATAAAAAAAAAATAAAAATAAAAAAACTTGTGGGAAACAATTCAGAGTATATTATACTACTACGGTATAATCGTTTAGCTGCCGGGACAACTCTCTGCGGTAGGTAGTTAACTTGATCACTAAACATATCTATATCGTATTAGCGCTGATAACAGACACTAAAATGACCATTTATTTATCATTATACACATATTTATTTATCTATCCCATTAACAGTATTAATTAATAATAAATTTTTCAATATTATAATTATAATAATAATAATAATAATAATAAGTAGTAGTAGTATTAATTTTAGCTGGGACATTGACTCAGCGCTAAAACATAAAATGATCAACGATAAGAGAAAAATTGAGCGATTTAGTGAATATCTGTATTAGCAACATTGCGTATACATTTATATTATTTGATCGGATGACGGGATTGAGTGAAAAAAGTATCTCATTATACTCTCGATTACGGTGAAGAAAAATGTATGCATGCTTTAGTCTTAAAACCCGTGCGAGAGAACATGTATACGATGAATATTTCAGGGAATTTATCAAAGAGCCGCGCGACAACTTTTATCCACTGGCGATCGTCATTCGATAGACATTAGCGTAACAGCCGAGAGCTAATTGATGCCATCGCCTCTTTCAACTCCTGCTCCTGCTCCTGCTCTTGTCATTTACTTTTTATTATTTTGCACTCATCGCTTACCTTTGGGATCTTATTTACTTCTACCGAATAAATAATCACCTCGCTTATTTTTTTCGATTATTATTACATCAATTCCACCGTACACGTCTTAATTATTTCAACCGATTTATATAATTTGCGTTATTAATAATAATTATAATAAAACCAGTCACTGTCATTGTTAAAAAAAAATTCTTATCGACAGATTTATTAAACTTTGAATTTCTGGAGTAAAATACTAAAGAGATACAGAAAAAAAAATAAATAAAACAACGAAACTCGATGAGTCGGATTTCTCTCATCTTTTGCGAAGATAGGAGAATCGTGTCGACGAATGGTCGTGTCCGGCAAACAAATTGCACGATACCTCATAGTAGCTTGTTACTAACTTCTTCACCTTTTACTTTTTTTTTTCCCCCCCAGCTCATGATTATTTATTTATTCTTTTCACCAGTATTAATTACTTAAAAGTTAATTCTTTAATAGAGAGCAAAAAAATAAGAAAATTTAATTACGGTAACTTTTATTCAGTCTTAACTTGAATTGAATTGAATTGATGTGAAATTCAATGATCGAGAATCAATCAATCTCTCGCGTCCTTGATATACTCGCTGATTTATACAGCTATTACTATTTATTTATTTATTACTCCTTTTTTTACATTGAAACAAATTTTAAATAATTTTATAATAATAATAAAAATAAGTACAAAGAGATGTATATGGATATATGGATGTAGTAGTGAGATCGAGGGGTTAAAAAAGGGAGGAGTGAAAGTAGTTTAAGAGGGGGAGAATTTAAGTAAAGAAATAAGGATGGTTAGGTAGCAAGCTTGTTCACGTCTTGGAATGCTTTGAAAGACCGCGAAGAGACCGACTCACGCCCGTTAAAGTTCTATAATCCAGAGGATGGAAGAGGACTCATCGGTTTGCGGCTGTTTTACTCAAAACTGTTTGTTTTAAATAACAACTAATAAACAAACATCATTTTCAAAATTTATTACACACAACCAATTCCTTTAAATCATCGAGATAAAAGTTATATACTATTAATAGTATCCACACCTAGGTGTCGGTATTTAGCACTGAGTTAATAAACCGCCGCCCACCGAGTTTGTTTTAATTTTGTAAGCAGTTTGTTTCAATATAAATCCCGTAGAGAACCAAAATCAAGAGAATAAAAATGAGATAGATTTACTTTAAGCTAAACCAGTCAATCTCGAGTCTAGAAGCTCCTTAAAGGGATGTCTCATGCTTGCTGTCGTTTAATAATCGTTAATTAATATTATTTATTTATTTTGTTTGTTTGATCTTTAAAATTTTTTTTTTATTTGTAATATCTAATGCACGGAAAAAAGTAAACTGTAATATTCACTCGGATTCCGGTTAATTTTTATAGTTTCAAACAATAAAGCAGACATCGGGGTGGCAAAAATATAAATATTACAGAACTTAATGTAGAAAGTATAAAAGCCACAATTCATAATTTAATATCCACAAAAAAGTGATTAGTATTAGCTGTCACTATAGTAAATAACGACTTTTTCATCTTTAAAAATTACAGTTTCAAACAGTAAAAATTGCCATTTCAATATATAGTCCATATATTATGAGTAGAAGAGGAACTCAGATGAAAGAGATGAAGGGGGTCTCATTCTGGGAGAATTTAAAAATTGAAACAGCAAAAATTATACTTTTAAAATATATATTTTACCAGTCTAAGCAAGTCAATAATTACAGTTTGATTTTTAGCGTTACGTTTAAAATTTACCATTTTACTTTGTAAATATTAACGTTGCTTATATTAGAAATTTACTAATTTTATTCATACTTTTTACATATCATAAGATCATTTTTAAGTACGAAATGATAAATATCAAAGTCTGAATTCTTAATTATTATACTTTAACATTTTAGACATTCACATAGCGAATATTACTGTTTGAAATAGTATTTTCTTCCATGTAAAGAGTAAATTGTAACGTTTAAATGGTAAATATTATAAAGTGAATAGTAAAATCACGATTTTACTGTTTGAAATGGTAATTTTTAGCAGTTGATCATTACTTATTATAAATCGACTGTTAATATTTATTATAGTTTACTTTTTTCCGTGTGGCAATAATGTCTCTGAGGTTACTAAATCTTTGATGCCGGCAAACCAAAGATGAGCGATATATAATATATATTCCCAGTAATTTCCCATTGGTTTATTCACTTCACCCTCCTCGCAGTTCCTTCCCTAATATAATTCCAATGGTACAATAGACGAGAGCGCCAGCGAGGTGATTCTCCGTCTAGGCATTGTTCAACATTCAATTAAACTCGAGAATTAAAAATAGTTCTATCGTAATACAATAATTTTAATCAGAATTATTTATATTATTATTGTTGTTATTATTGCAGATAAATGTCCATCAAAGATCACTAGAAACAGCAGCAGGACTAGAGCTTTGTGCAGCAGCAGCAGTAGCAAGTGGTAGTGTACCTCAAGGTCAGCCAAGTAGTACAGGATCAGTAGGATCAGCACCAAGTCCAGCATCGCCTCGACCTACACCTCAATCAAGACAGCAGTCATTAGGCGCCTCCCATCCTTCTCGAACTCTAGACGACGATCGATCTGCGGATGGTAACGTAATCTTAGCTGTCATGATTAATTTAACTCTAATAAATCTAAAATTAAATTACAGTATAGTAATGTTGTGATATACAAGACTAATACTTGGAATATTATATTAAAATATTCAGGAGCCGGAACGACAGCTGATGACTCAGATGACGGAGAAAGCAGAGCGCAGTATGTAAACGCAAATTGCGTGGTGTTTACCCATTACCGTGGAGACGCGGCTTCTGAAGTTGAAGAACACTTTCAGCGTGCTCTGGCCCACGACAAAGTAAAAGGTTTGTTGGTATAATGTTGTTTTATATTATTATTGCTATTATTTAAACAAGACACTACATACTAACAACCCTCGTACATTATAATATATCCTACTATCAATTGTTCGGTTTGTCGTGACAAAGCGATAAGGTTTAAATTCTCTTCACGTCACCAATAGCGGGATAGAAAAAACTAAAAGGGAAATAAGTTGGTGGTAAACCAAAGAAGACAATGAGATACTGTTTTAAAATAAAATAAAAAAAGGAGGGTTGGCAAACGATCAGCATTGCGGCTATATCCGAGTCGCTAAAGGCCACATTTATCCGGCCGCAATTCAGGATCATCGGTTCACTATCCTGGTTAGAATTCAAGACAACACCGACCTAATTGTTACGTGCCTAGCTTTTATTATTCTGGTTATACGCTTATTCATTTTATCCTTACTCCTGCCATTCTCTTTTTTTTTTTTTTTTTTTTTTTTTTTTAATGCTCCTTCATCCCTTATTTTCAAGCTCAACAGTCAACTCACGGGCGTCTTGTTCTTATTTTTTAAACGCCATTCTTTTCTTTCAGCTGCACAATGTTGTACGTTATTCTCTTAATTTATTTTTTCTCATACTTTTTTAATTTTATTTTTCCGTGTTCTTTTTCCGTACACGCACTAGCGGTAAATTAAGAGCTTCTCGTTTCTACTTGCAAGCCACAAAAGTGACGTAGATGAGTAGAATGAGGAGGCATGAATACTAAGGAACGATTTTAGCCTGTGGAATGCCAAGAGTCTAATGAACGAATATATATACTTTATATACTTACTATCTACCTACCATTTTTAAATTCTTCACAACAATTAATATTAATATTAAAATTTTACTACTGAACAATAAAATCATTCATATGAATATCAATAAAAAATAACTCTAACATTCATTTGCAACAATTGACAAAAGCATTGAATAAATCCGCGGTTGACTTTTAACTTGAAAGACCGAGAGGAATTTTCGTTGTGTCAAGAGTTATAAATATATATGTGTGTACATTTTAGAATTATTTACCCTTTAATCTCAAACTCATAGTTTATATTATTGCGTTCTTACGTTCTATCTTCTATCTTAGCTTCTCCAGGAATACTGCACTATAATTAAACATGTGCTGACGTTTTAATGACGTTAATTAATTAATTGTTATTAGTCATATCGTGGTGGTTTATACAGGACTTTAAATGATAATTTTTAGTGAAATTTTAGCATACTCTGAATTTACAAACTCTTTGATGTAATCAGACACCTATTTTATATCACACACAATAAATGATTTGGCTATTAAGGTAAAGTACCCAGTAGTTGAACAGGTTTCAAAGTAGAACGTATTTGACCCTACTTTTGATACATAAAGATATAATTATTAGTTCAAATTAGTGATTTTCATGAAAATATAAACAATTTTGAATTGATTGAAGCGCAAAATAACGTAGATAATTAAATATTTATATTTTGACAACGTTTTCAAGATAGACTATAAAAAGAGTAGTAGTTGAACTAATAAAATATATGACAATAGGCACACCAAAAATTTTCAACGTTTTATTGAAATATCCAAAGATTTATAATATAACATATTATTAAATATTATTAAAAATAATACTGAGAATATTTAATACGTTTATTTAAAAATGAGAAATATTTGTATTTAATTTTTTATGAATGACAAAGCAAATTTTCAATTATAAATAAAAAAAACCTCAATTCAAAATGTTCAATAATTTTAACTACACTAATTTTTAGCTACAAAACTTAATTAATTTGTAGTAATTAATACAAATCACAATGCTGATCACTATAGCCTATAAACCTATTCGGCTGCATAATTTTAAAACACAGTAACTGCAAAATTTTTATACTTGATTTTTTTTTAGTATTGCTGCATTTTTTATAACTTTTAGACCTTAATTTCAAGTATTTTTTCTTAAAAATATTTATATTCAAGTATTTTCTATTCATAAATCAAATTTTTCATCAATTTGGCGGGTAAACTTTTTTTTAATAAGAAAAATTGGAAAAAATTTTGAAATGTTAGTTACTGTGTTTTGAAATTGGGCAGCCGTATTAGAGGTTATAGAGTGCTGGTAAAATTATACGGCCTCAGCTTGTTCAAGTTCTGGGTACCGCTTTGAAAATTGTGAGGTATAGTTAGACGCTAAAATTTAATATAAAAATTATAAAGTTTATGTCTTTGCAAAAAATATGTATTATTTAGAAAAAACTATTTCATTGGGTGGAACAATTTTTTTTACTTAAAATGATGATATACCGTTTTTTTTTACTGATTGTTCGGTTTACGACTTAGTACCTTTTTCATGAAAAAAATGACTTCTATCGACGATTCTCGACATGTCAATTTTTAAGTTAACAAAAACATAATTGTTTTGATTTATAATTGAAAAAACTTACAGAAATCAATTACTGTATCATTGAATAATTATAATATGCCCATATTACTCATAATAAATTTACGGATTTTATATTACAACAATTCGAAAAGTCTGTTCAATAGTAATCCTATTTTTATAAGTGTTCAAGTACTGGGTACTTTACCTTAAGTATTTTAACTTATTTAAGGGAAATTAATTTCTAAAAAAAGGTATTTTATTTGAAAAGCACGTGTATGGTGATAATAATGGGTATACGGTTAAGTTCCATTAAAAACAGTAATAACAGCAAGTCCGATAAATTGAGCGCGTAGTCGTTACGCGTCGTAGCCTCACATTTATTTAACGCCTCACTAATATGTGCAGTACTGATGAACATGTGTATGTAATATGTAACAAAATGAGAGGGGCTGAACGTTGATGAATTTTGATTAATACTATCGCCATCATCATATATAACAAAATAGAAAAACTGCTATAGCAGTGTCTTTCACTCCTGATAAAATTTCATAACAACACTTTTGAATAAAGATCAAGATTAAAAGACAGTGCGAGTGTACGATATAAGTTATTCGTAGGTTTTATGGGATCTGTAATTACTTGACGACACATACAGAATATGTACAACAACGAGGGCTTGGGATCAAAGACACCGGGTGACATACGTTACAACGCTCTAAATCGGAGTAACAAGCCATCGAGTCGTGTCAGGACATCAATTTTCAGTTTCTCTATCTTCCAAGAGTTGGCTCTTTAACTCAACAGATAAAATGAATAATAAATAAAATAAACAGGGGATGTTTAAGACTTATTGTTGGTATTAATAATTTTTTAACTATAAAAAAACCAAATGTGTATGTACACGTACTATATACGTTTTGATTAATTGGCGTTATTGCGAATATGGCAAAAGACGACGTGAAAGTGTTGTCAAGTGTGAGTAAATGTGAATAACATCTACGCATCAACAGCACTCGCGACATCTTTATAATGGGGAACAACTTTTGGAGTGACGCCAACAAACATGTATCTAACCAACTCACATATTCATCACTGAGAGTAATATATTATTAATACTAGTTATTGATTTTTTATCAATCGCTTATCAATATCATTAGAGATTGGAGTTTTTTTTTATAAAATAATGATAATATCGATAGAAGAGGCTGTTTGCATAACTGTTTGTTATTTAGTATTGCTCTTCGGCATCAAGAGACCCATTGAGACGCACGCAGTTAAGATATGCCGCTGCACATGCACTCACAAGACACAAGACACAAGAATAATGCCGACTGGATAAAACCGACACTCTGTTTCTTTAATTGCGTTAATAAATAAAGCTCCGTCTTTTGCGGTTAAGTACTTTGTACAAGAGAAGAGATATCGCTTACCAAAAGCATTGCCTGTCAAAAAATAAATAATATTTTTATTTTAATTATCTTATTAATTGAAACTAAATATAATAATAATAATAATAATAATAATAATATTATTATTATTATTATTATAACTATTGTTTGAGTCGTTGATGATGAATAAAGAAAGAAGAGGTAAAGTATTAAAGGGCGTATTAAAATGTTTGAATAAATAAGTAAGTGATAGAGAAAATAAGAGAAAGGATCAATACTAATAGTTTGTTGGGAATATAGTGATGTAGAGGTATAGAGAGGCAGAGGTATACGAGAATAAGCCAATCTGCAAAATCCTAAGCGGCGCGTTCGAGAAGCATATTTCAAAGTATCTCTGTGTAGCAGCAGCAGCAGGAGCAGTAACAGCAGCATCAACAGCAAGAGCAACAGCAGCCAAACCCCGTGACTCTCTTTTGGTCTCTGTCTCTCCCTAGTGCCTGCATTCCATCCGTGGGAAACAATGCGGACCTGGGTTCTTCGTTCTTCTTTCTTATTCGGTCTATCTCATCCTATCCGCTGTGTACCATACGACTTGTTACCAGTACGTGTTGTTGCGGGTGGTTATATCTTCTTACAGACAGACTCGCCTCCAATTCTCCCTCTCTCGGCCACGCTTACAATTAAAATTCAGCTTAGATAATAGTTATTGTCCTCTTTAGGTTAACTTTCGTTGGTAATGGACATAAAAAAATTAAACTTTTTATATCGCTGCACTAACAATAACAATAATGATAAATAAATTAGTAGGGTTAGATGTTAACGAAAAAGCTCAATGAGTGAACAACCAAATAAAAAGGACAAACGAGGTTCACGATAATAACGAGTTAGGGAACAGGTTCGATGATATCGCCGGAAGAGGAATGGCCCCGTGTGAAATAAGCCAAGATAGGAATCCTAAAATCCGTGTGACGGGAAACGGGAGAGAACCCTGAGAGGAACGACAAGCTTCTGGCTTATATTCTAAAGTGACCGTCTTGTAAAACAACCATTCGCGCGCCTTTATTTTATTTTTATCAACTTGACTAAATTCTTTCTCTTTCTCCTTCTCTTTATTTATTAATCCCGTGCTCTATTCTATATAACATTCATTTAAAAATTAACTTTAATAATAATAATAATAATAATTATTATTATTATTACTTACAGAAAATATTCCAATGTCGACGAGGAATTTCCCGCCATCCTTCTGGAATAGTCAGCATCCCGGTGACGTCTATGAATACCCAACGGATCCTTGGCACCCTCATTATCCTCAGTATCATCACAGGTACTTATTGCATTGAATTATTCTTTATTTAATGTAATAAAATAAATATTTAATAATGTAATAAAATAAAAAGGGCCGTCCACGAGTATCACCATCACAATATGGCGGCAGCAGCGAGCTACGGCGGGTTGTTACTCGGGGGTGCAAGAAGTTTAGGGCACCACACGTCGCACCATCACACAGCGGCCCATCATGCCCACGCAGCAGCAGCAGCTTCATATAAAGACTGGACGTCTGCGACGCCTTCGCAATCCCTCGTAGACGCATCCTCAGCACCCCCCTATCACGGCCCTTATGCACCCCTGTCTGGTGAGTATTGGACCTAATTATAGAAAAATTATCATCAATATCGTCAATTGGTCCTTAATAATTTAACGCCCGTTTATTAGTTCAAAAAATTATCTTTTTTATATTATGTACAGTTATACATATAGTAATGGTTAATTATTATTTCAATTAATCGGGGTTCATGCCAACAGCAACCGACCAACCCCATGTCTTATATGTGTATTAAAATTTAAAGAGTCTCATTAATTAATTAATTAATTAATTAAATAATTAATCGGTATACTGAATTATTTTACTTGTAAAATTGTTAATTGTAAAACATTGCTATGAAAAAAATTTATTTATAAAAAATAAAGATAACTATATAATTATTAACAACTGTTGTTGAAAAAGTATTTCTTTATTTTTGTCAACCACCAATAATAACATATCGCTGTTATAATGTTGTTTGTTATTTTTAAGTGGTTTTGAAAGAGAGAGAACAAACAAAATACAAAATGAAATAATATATAAGTGCGTGGGGTTGTGTTGGCCCTAGTTAATTCTTTTAGAGTGGATCCTGCTGTCCCCTTTCACCCTTTTTATCCCACTCACTAAAACTCTCCCATCATTATATGACATGCTCGATCGTCAATCGTCGATTCTTGATCCTTGATCCTCGATTGCCCGGCAACAATCAGGGACCACGAAATAATAAATAAATTTAAAAAAATAACCATTATAATATAATATATATCTTGTCCTCTCTTAAAGATCGCTGCATTGAGATATTAAGAAAGCCGGCTAGGCCGCATGGCTATTGATCACAATCACAATCAAAAATAAAGGACACATGCTGAATTCTAATAATAAAAGGCATCAGACATCACCTAACATATAAAAACAGCCACTAACTGAAATACCATATCAAATAATAACAATAATAAACATAATCATCATTTTTATATACATTTTTAAAGAATTAATCATTTTTTAAAATAAAATTAATAATATAATATAAAATTTGGCTTACACACTGAATTTTCAATTGCAAAACAAAAGTAAGGATAAAATAAAAAAATATGTGTCGTTATAAGACGGCATAAAGATTGTTTCGGAGGATGATGGTAGAATGGCGCGGTGTGGCTTGACGCACAGGTAGAGGAGAACAAGAAAGACGGGCGGTCCTTCAGATCCCCGCAATTAATAAGAGCTTAATGGAGGCCGCGACCGATAGCCACACTCATCTCTCTCTATTAAATTTCTTTTGCTATACATTTATCTTTCTCTTTGTCTTTATCTGCTTCCCAGGGAATAAGAAAGAAAAATTTTTTTTCTAAAACAAAAAAATCATATACATTATATATTATTATTATTATTATTATTGTTATTTTTATGAATGTTTTTCAAAGTTTTATCCGTGTGTCCTGCTCTCAATCTCAGTGTATATAGTACTAGTCTAAACTGATGTATCAACGTTGTGGAACAAGTATCTCCTTCTAAAAGACTCTCAACAACATCAGTCTCTTATTTCTCAACCGAAAATGATCGCGCGACAAAAAGACCAAGGGAGTAGATTCAGTAGCAGTAGTAGTAGTAGTAGTAGTATCTAAAGGAGTAGACAATATAAGGTCCTTTATAAATGTGTGGTCATCGTAAAACATTTAGCTGGAATAAGGTGCTCGAGACACGTCCGCAAAAAGGCGTCTCATATCCCGCCATCATTGTTCAACAGCACAAATAACTCGATATTATCAAGGATCACTTGATCTCCAATTATATAACAATTCACTGATATTATTTTTTATTAATATTTTCATCTTCACAGAAAATCCTAATATAAAATTAAGATGAAATGTATGTGGTATCAAACTATTCGTAATGTGATTGGTCGAATATATCATAAGCATGAAAATATATGCAAACTCTATAGTCAGACGCGCGCTTGCGCGCGTAAATTTGAATTCTAGTAAAATAAAAAGCGTGTAAAAAAATGTTTTTGAATCAAGTATATATTTTTTAAGCAATATCCTTGGTTTGAGTAGAAAAATTTTTGATTTAAGAAAATTTTTCTTGATTTAAGGAAATTTTACTTAATTCAAGAATTTTTCTCTTGAATCAAGTTAATTTTTTTTTCTGTGTTCTTTATTAATTTTTTTGATTCAACTAAACCTTTTTTTTCTGCTGACTAATTAAAAGGAAAAATTCAAAGATTTTTTATTTAAATTTTGAAAATCGAGCATACATAAGTGTTGTACTAAATAAACAAGTGGTAAAGTATCGAGTTTGAGTGTATAAGTATAACAGATAAATGTTATTTCGTACATAAGTAGTAAAACTCGAGTTGACAGAGAATCGAGGGTGCAAAGAGCCGGCTCCAAGCAAAGGGGATACGGTACCTGTTTGTCAGACAGAACCAGAACTACTTTATGAGGTGGGCCAATGCTCCAAAAAAGTATCCAATAATAAAAATAAAAACAAGACAAGACAAGAAAAGAATCGTAGGGATAAGAAATAAAAGGAATAAAGAATAAAGAATAAAGAAGAGTGTAGGGGGTGGCGGTGTAAAGCTACCGAGTTGTTTTATTATCTCCAAAGATTTTGATGTTTCTGAGGGATAAGAGATGAAGGAGGGGTTCTTGTTGTTGCTCCTGTTATTTTATCATTGTTTTTTTTTTTTATTTTTGTAACAGAATGAAAGAGTGAAAGAGTGTTTCTGGTGATGCAGTAGTAGTACCAGTAGCAGCTGTCGTTTATTGCTCCTACTTGGTTAACTCTGGACGAGCAAAGACACGCCTTCATCCGAAAACAAACCACGCCTATCTGGTTGTTCCCTTGTTGCACATTATATTACTTTGCTTCTGTACGGTCATATATGTCGATTGCGTTACTTTTACTTGGGTTTTAGTTTTATTGTCACGTCAGATTAAGATTAAAAATAATAACCATTTTTTTAAAGAATTTTATTTTTATCTTACGTTGGCTAATTGATATAATTGCCGACTTATTTATGCTTTTACAAAAAATATTATTATACTCAATTTATTATTTTATTTTTACAAATTCGGTTTTTTAATTGCTGACAAATCGACGTTGGAAAGTATTTAAGGACATTAGTAGTCCGAGTCACTGGAAAATATAATACCTCACCCCACGGAAAAATTATAGTATATCCTAGTATTTATCCAAGGATATATGCTGGGATATGCTCAAATTTGCCTAAAAATATATCCCAGGATATATGTATGTGTTACGTCACTTGTGTAGACTATGGATAGACTATAGATCCGACAACAGACCAGACTATAGATCAGAGAAAAATTTGGAGTAAAACGGGATACAAGTGAGCGCATGCATAAATCCAAGTGGGCAAATTTGAGTATATCTCAGCATATATCCTTGGATATATACCACACAGAAAGAAAAATTTCTTGACTGGAGAACAAAATTCTTGGCTTAAAAAAATTTTCGGGTGCCTGAAGAAAGACCGAAGTTGGGTTGGCTGAAGTAAAAATTTTTTCTCCCCTCCGTGCGGAAAGCGTCAATTTTCTGCTCGCTGCGCTAAACGAAAATGCCGCTTTCCGCCTCCGTCGAGGAGAAAAATAGTATTCTCACCACGGGCAGGAAATAAGAAAGCCTCAGATCACATGTTTGTCGACCTCGGCTTCGCCTCGGTCAACAATTACATGTAATCTGAGACATTTCTTATTTTCCTGCCCCAGGTAAGAAAAATACTATTAATTTTTCGAGGAATTTAATTGAATAATTGTTAATTTTATACTTTAGATAAAATAAAAAAAATTTTTTAATAAACTAATAAAAATTCTATCGCCAATTTAATTGTAAAAAATTTTTTTACCATGTTCATTATCAACAAAAGAAAAAAATTTCAATAAATCAACTTCCGCGGATCCTTTGAAAATTTTTTTAACGTGCCTCTGAAAAGTATTTTCTGAAATGCTTGACCTCCGGCAGCGAGCAAAGTTGATTTTACCGCCTAGCATGCCACAAACGAACTATCCTCATTTTGCATACCCATATCATTTGAATAAAATTTTTCACAAATCCATCTCATTCGCAGGTACAGACTATTTACCATTACCCTTGTAACTTTTCCATATTTTAATTAAACGCCAGAGCTTACATGCAATTAATTAAAGTTACCTTTGAAGTAACGTTTAAGTGATGGAACGACTCTTATATTACTTACTTTTCAGACGTAAAGATCTAAATGTAGAAAATAATTCGCCGAAGAAATGGATGTACGTTATAAAATACACGTACAAAGTATCCGGAAGGTTTGCTTTCTAGTCGCGGATACGATTTTATTAAAATTCTTGGTGAAACTCCGACTCAGACGATTCTAATTAACCAAGTACATCCAAGTTAATTCATTGACTCTGTGAACTTTTTTCAAATATTTTTCCATCTCTCAGCTCTGTACCTAAGTATTTTCTCGCCGAGAATTTAATGCAATCTCCCTTTTGTAAATTTATACAAACAACCAGCAGTACTCACTACGGACAGTGAGATAATCATGGTTAACTGGAAAATTTACAATACACCTCAATCAAAACAATGGTTAATTAAACTTGATATGAATTCTCTACTCGATGCAAACTGTTGCCAATGTACATTGTTCTTTTTTGTGTACTTTTTTACTTACACAGAAAAAAAACAGATGATTTGAACCAAAAAAATTGTTGCCTTTAATTCACTACTCTTGACTCACACTTTTTCTATTTTTAAATTCAAAAAAAAATTACTCAGATTATTAAATAAATTTTTAGATCAATTTTTTTTACTTTTATATTAAATATTATTTAAATAAAAAAAAATGTTTTCCCATAAAAATCTATGACTTGAAATTAAAAAATTTTTGCAGCAAAAATTATATAATTTTAATAAAAAAAATAAAATTAAATCAACTTAATAATAAAAAATCTTAATCCAAAAAAAATAATTTTCTTAACCTGAGAATTGCTTCAACTAACAATGTCTCTTTTTTGGGTGATTTGTTCCTCTCTTTGGGTTCTTTCGTAGACTTATCGGTAAGAAAATGTTATTTTTTTTAACGATATTTCATTTTCGGATGAAGAAATTTTTTTTTCACTTTTTCAGGGAGTACCCCATTTTGCCCGCAAAAAAAAAATTTTTTTTTCTACGGCAACTTGAAATTTGATTATTGTTCTTTAATTACGACTGAAAACGAGAAAAATCAGCGTATTTAAATCCTGAAAATCATAACGATTTCTTAAGTACCCCATTTTACCCCCCCCCTCCCCTATATATACGGCAATATACGGAATACAAGACTGACCAAACGGGTTCTAAAGAATTTGCTTATAGGAATGTAAACTACGTTCACTATTTAAACTGGCGTGCGCTA